TCAACACATTCCACAGCTGCTTCCAGTGGTGAGGCTGAGTCCCACCCAGCCATAACGTGAAACTACTTCTGGCAGGTGAAAGCTACTAAAGAGGTGACGCCACAGTTATGCTGCCTGAATTGAATCCTTCATATAATGTATGGGCCCAATCTGGTGCAAGGACATTTGACTGATATCTCCTTGTGTCAATGTGAATGAAAGTAGCGCATATATTACACACGCTGCTGCAGGAAATAGGCAGAGTGCACAGGAATGCATTACTGAGACAGCATGTTCTTATGACTGTATTTGATTTGCAGCAGTGGGAGTGGAACGTAACACACCAGATGGACGCTTTCCCTTCCATGTTTGAGCAGAGCCCGGCTCTCCAGCCACCCAAATGTAACACAATTTGCAGAAGGACTGCGGTTCTCAGCGCTTCTCACAATCTGGTCTTCAACATAGAGATGAGTCAGCATGTACATTTAACATAATAATTTAATAACATAATCTGCACTTACCAAGCAGTATTATTATTGCTCATTTTTCACTGAGGCCCAGGGAAGTGTTACTTGAAGTGAGAGTCGGTGACAGAGGTAAGTATAGAAGTCAGGAGTCCAGATCTTCAGTCCCCTACTTTATGCATTAACCTAGTGCACCTGACCCTACAGTGCTTTGCCCTTTGCATATTAGTCATTGCAGCTGTACAAAGTGAGTGTAAAGTGCTACTCAAATCCCACCCACTGTATCTGAATGCAAGATGCAAGACAGTGAAGAATCATCCCCAGTGCTTTGCTCTGGTAAAAACTTTTCTCCGATCACACTCCAAATCCTGTCTGCTTTCAATTTGTCTGAAACTTCTGACCAAATCAGTACGTACTGAAAACAAAACAACCACCTCATTTGTTAGAGTTTTAACCTTCAGCCCTCTCACCAGGAGAGCCAGACTATCCACTCACTGACCCATTCAGGTCACCTCAGAGGATACTTACTTTTCTACTTTTACTACCGTACCATCTGGAAAAACCGTTTCCTCCAGCCCGCCATCACAGAAGCGTTTCACTGTCTGATCTGGGAACACAATTTCTTTGGTGCCATCGGGGTGGTGTTTTTCTGTAGAAAATACAACATGTTCATTCACAACACATGGGGGTGAGGAGGGAACTTTTTAGATGATAACTTAGTAAAACTTGTAAAGAATAAATAATGATAAGCATCTAAATGGTGCTTTTACGTCTGCAGATCTCAAAACAAATATCCATTATCCTAATTTTATAGATGGGGAATCCAAGGGAGAGAGAGGCAAAGTGAATAGTCTCAGTCCCCCTGAGGTAGAGTCAGGCAGTTTTTTATAAGAAGACACACCTGCAAAAGTAGTTCAAAGTTATGAGCTATCACATACCTATCTGATTGTTAGGGAACTGCAGCACCTCCAAGCCATTTGGATAAGTGGTATGGGTTGTCTGTGCATCTGCATAATAATAAATCTGCAAGGGCAGTAAAAAGTTTGCATTTTGTTTCAGATATTTTAACAGTGGGATATCGTGATAGCAATAGGTTTTAAAAGTATCTTGTAGAGAAATTATTTTGAATTAACTTAGGATATTTGGAAAGCACATAAGTTACTGCATTTATATTCCAACTCCTCCTGCTCCTCCTTCCCTCACATATAGGATGTGTCAAGATCTTGCTTCTTTCTTCTCTACAACATACAATGGAGTTGCTGATTGTCTTCCTTGCCCACTGGATCCTTTCTCTTGCTCCCCTTTGCACTTCTAATGAAGTATAAAATTCTCATCCTATCTTCAAGAACCTGCTCAACTCCAGCCCACATTACATTAGTATTTCCTGTTGGTATTATGGTAGCACCTGGAGGAGAGGACCCCAATGTGGTGGCACCATACAAAAGTATAATAAAGAGACATTCCCTGCCCCAAGGAGCTATGTCTCACACTTTGATTTGTATCATGGTTTCCATTTCCTCTGGTTGCACCAAAGATGCCAACGTCAGAGTTCTGTTCATTCCATCCTCTAGCTCTGTCTTGGCTTCTTTCCACTCTTCCACCTGTTTGAGGGGTAGACTCAGTAGCCCAATTCACCAAACCACCCTGCTTCTCCTTCAAACCCCTACTAAAAACTCTCTTCTTCAACTGTGTCCGCAAGCCGTGAGGTTTTGTAGTACTAATAGATCTGCATAAAATATTGAAATGCTTTTTTCTTAAACAAAAAGAAAAGACAAGTGTTGACATACCACTCTCTGATCCGGCATGATCTTCTTTACGTCTCCATTGAAAAAAGTAACCACCGTCATCCTTTTATCAGCACTGATCTCTTTCTTGGTACCGTTGCGGAAAGTAATGATTCGACGTCCATCAGTAAGCACCTCTTCTACCTTTAAAGACACAAAATACCCCACACAAGAGAAACAAAATAGGACAAACACCCCTCTCAGCGGCAGCAATGCAGCTTCAGTGGTTAGTAACACTGAGGTGGTGTAACTGAAATGAGAGTTTGTCACTAAATACATTAACACAGGGACCTTGGCTATGCTGCAGCCCTTCAGAGCTTATTGCTACAGCATGGGTAGGTAATTCCTACCTCACCTGTGTGCCAACAGAGATATAAAAATTGTCTTACTCTAACTCTCCCTTCTCCTCCCCTCCCACCCCCCAAATATGCTGGCTTTGTTTCGTGGCAAGCTGGCCAGATTGCTATTTCCTCTCATTCAGTCTGAGTTTCAGAGCATGGGCAAACACTATGATTTCAATGAAGAACAACAGAATTCTGCAGCTACTCAGTCGAAGTGAGCTAAGATTCCTGATTGAGACAATCTAATTAGCCTGCGTATATCTCCACACAAGCCAGAACAAACTGAGCACCCCACCAAGATCTGGGTGGAGAGGACGTAAATGATTCGATCTGATAAGATGGCATATGGTGGTGACATATGGAGACGGCAATTTTATTTCCAAATAATGGGATCTCATTAAAAGCACTACAGCTCTACAAAAGCTCATTTTGGTGGATGCAGAAAGCCTCTGGGAAATCACCCAAGACCTCTTGACAGCGAACACATCACCAGTGTACTCTTCTGCAGCTGATGCATTTGTCAGATGAGACCTGCTGTCTAGCGGAACCTCTAGTTAACCCAAGCAGGCTTTGCTGGAGTCACTAGGCAGCTGCTTCTGGGCAGGTTGCATTGATTTACATAACAGAATCCATTCCATGAAATCCCAGTGGAGAAGGCAGTCAAAATAGCTGTGCCTTAACACTGCCATATGGCTCTAGTGTCATAAAACATTCCTCATGGGAAAGGAAAGTTACGCACTGAGAGAGGAGGAAAACAAAACATTTGAGAACTAGGGCTTCTCAAAACAGGTCCTGCAAAGGATACTTAGGACAATATTTCATTGTAACGCAAATGTGTTCAAAGATTCCAGAATAATAATTGACAATTAATATGAAGAACACTGAAACAAGAAGTATTGTTATCAAGAGGTCCAAGTGTATTAGGGTGAGTGTCAATGTCTCCACCTTTAATGCCATAACACCTCCTTCTACCTCCTCTCTAGCTCCCCACCCCAAAGAAGCCTAGAACAACTCCTGATTGTATTAGTTGAACAGGGGGATGAGAATGCTTAATCTTTTCATGACTGTTTTCCTTTCCAGATGCAGAACTACAGGTCCTGCATTCTCTAAGAAGGAACAAGGAGAAGTTATCAGAGCCCATCTCAATAATAACTGCAAAGAGTTGGGGGTCTCTGACCAGTATCCATTGGCCAGGCAGTGTCTACAGCACAGAAACTCCCATTAAAACAAACAGCATTAATTTGTACTCGCACTGGTAGTATTAGCAAAAAGGCCAACAACTGAATGGACATAAGGAATGAGCTAATGCCTCATGCAGAAGAGCCGATTTTCCGAAGTGCCAGGGACGCTCAACCCCCAGCTCTGCCACCACTCTACCCTTTCCCCCAAGGATCCATCCATGTTCTTCCCCACCCCTTCTCCACCTCTTCCTCCACATCCATGCCCCTGCCCTGGCCCTGCCTCTTCCCCCCTGACCTCTTCCCCCACAGTTCTACCCCTGAAAGCACTGCATTGTCACTCCTCTCCTCTCCCTCCTGGTGCCTCCTGAATGCCGCAAGACAGCTGATTGCAGTGAGTGGAAGGTGTGAGGAGGGACTGGGAGGCACTAATCAATGGGCCCATCAGTTGGTGGGAAGCGCTGGCGGATGGGGAAGAGCTGATAGCCAGTGGTACTCAGCACCCTCCAGTTTTTCACTATAGATGCTCTGGGTCTGGAGCACCCATGGAATCGGCCTACGCTCCTATGATCTCATACATTAAGGCCTGGTCTGTGCAAGGAAACCGACCCAGAGCTGACAATGGGTCTCCCATACATTAGTGCTGAAAACAAAGTTTAACAGGACAAGCCTGTTTGTAGCAATGTTACACAGGAGATGGGTGGAGCCTGGGTTCAAATCTCACCCACACTTCCTATCATGGCATTGGGGTGAGTGCTGCCCAGTCCACGTGAGCAGGTAAACGCCACACTGAGGTAGCCCTGGTTCATCTGTAGGTGACAGGTGTCATTATCTCCAGTTAATAAATGGGGTAACTGAAGCAGATGGAATAAGTGACTTGCCAAAGGTCACTTGGTGAATCAGTGGGGAAGCTGGGAATAGAATCCAGCTGTCTGGATTGCGAGCTCATCAGTTAATCAAATTTCCCATAATATACCTTTTTACTTTCCTGTGGATAAGTGAAGCTTTACTTACAAAACATTATCTAGACTCCTCTGTAATGGTAATTCATGGTCACATCAGGGGTTCTATCAGTTTTCCGTTTTGTTCCCGTACATCTGCCCTAGGTTTCTTACCTTGCCATCTGCATACTCTATTTTTTCTCGCACCACCTCACTGCTTTTTTTGTTTTCTTTGTAGAGCAAAGATCTTCTAGATAATGTTGATTTTGGAGGAGAATGCTATGGAAACATTACAGTCCCTGTTATAGTCTTACACAAACATGGAGTTTTGCTAATATTTTTGTTAGTCTTAATCAACTCTTCCAAAAATATGGTAATCAGGAGAAAACTACTATGGGAGACAAGCACTGTAAAGAAAGGTGAGACAGGGCCCTGTTTTCATTTACACAGAGGACCTTTCAGAATGCTCTGGCAGCATAAAGTGGTCTTAAGTTATATTTACACCCACATTGAAAACGGCTCCCAGTCCCTTAGAGCCATCAGGCCCTAAGGGTACATCTACACAGCAGGAGAAAACTCGAAAAAAGATACACTTCAACTATATCAATTGCATAGCTGAAGTCAAAATAGCTTAATTCAGCTTTTGGTGCTGTCTACACAGCAGGAAGTTGAAGGAAGAGCACTCTTCCTTTGACTTCCCTTACTCCTTGTGAAATGAGGGTTACAGGAGTCGGAGTAACGTCCTCTAGTTTGACATTATTTCAAAATAAAGACTTGTAGTGTAGATGTGCGCTATGTTATTTCGGAATAACGTCAGTTATTCCAAAATAATACTGCTGTGTAGATATAGCCTAACTGAGAATCAGGCCCACAATGTCTAGATCCATCCTGACCCAATATTATCTACAGTCATGGAGTGTCAGTGCTTTGATCTGGAGGCGGAAATCCAATGGAACACTTAAGTCTTTCCCCTGGCACGGTAATGAGCCATTCAGGTGACCAACGCAAGAGGGAAGCAGACATCTGCAGACAGTTTTAGATGTGAGAGTGAGCCAGGACCCATAATCACCAGCCCCATCTGGGACCTTGGGCCTCTCAGTGCCAGCTGGCAAGGGAGTTACAAGATTAGCCTGATACTGATCTGCATGCTCTGGTTCACCAAAGAAAACCACGTGAGGTCTCAAACAAAAGCTGGAGTCACACTGCTCATTGATATTGTTGTGAAATGTCTGTGTACAGACACTATGTAAGGAGTCAGGTATCTACGCTCAAAATATGTTCTCAGATTCTGTATTATAGCAGAGGTGAGTAAATATTTTCCTGTCAGAAAAAAAAATTAATCACCCACTTCTCTGCTGTATGTAAATTAAGCATCATATATTAACACAATGGAGATACACAGGAAGTCAATGGGAAGATGTGAAATCAACAGGGAAGAAGCACACAGGAAAAACAAGTGATGCTTGCTGAGTGTACTCATCTCAGAGTAAAAGCAATGAATTTTGTGGATATAGATGGAAGGCAAAAGGCAGTAACCTGCACTCAGGATATAAACAGGTTGTTTACAATCACAAAAGCAGGACCGTGACCAGCTTTGGTTGAAAAAACTGCAAAAAGTTTCAGGCGAGACAAATTAGGCAGGTTAACCTACTAGGTAAGTTTAGTCTCTAGAAAGCATGCCATGGTTTTGTTTGATAGATCTCCCTGTTGTTTCCATAACCCTTATTCACTATTTCTTGAACCTTTGATAATGAACTTACTGTTGTTCCCAGTGCACATAAAATTCAGTGCTGCAGTATTAAACAAGGGCTGATCGTGAGCTGAATCATACAAGCTGATGGTACATGCTGATCCCCTGGTAATTCTGGGAGCATTTGGGGAGAAGGTCCTGAAGGCTACAGGGAAACACTTCATAGAGGGTCAGGGTCTGGAGTGCTCCTATTGCAAGCAAAGGAAGGACTGGTATAGCCCAGAGGAGAGGGCTTGGGTGTCTAACAGGCTGGCGGTATCAGGCTGCTGACATCCAGTTAAGCACAAGCAATCTCCCTCTCACTGCCCTCCTGCCAACATAAGGGCCTCCCTTACCTTTTGCATTATGTGTGCTTCATCACAGTGGCATTTTCCACAATGGTTCCTGATTCCCTGTGAATTTAACTGTCATCCATTCCCCATTTCATGCAGATTTCCTAACTGTGGGCCAAAACACTCAGGAGTAATGGCATTGCTCAAGAGGGTTTTTCTTGTGCAAGAAGGGGCAGTGTAGACGCTCCTTCTGGTGCAAGAGCCTCTTCTGCCAAAATGGTGGCTCATTAGGTATGCAAATGAGGCTCGGCGATATTCCACGCTTAGCCTCATTTGCATACTTCTCGTGCAAGAAGCCGCGAGTGTAGACATAGCCCAGAGGTTCCTCTGTTGCCTGTCTAGGTATGGCAAGATATCACCAAAGGATCAGAGTGCTGCTTTTGCAGCAAAGCCTCGTGGAGCACAATAGCAATGACAGAAAAAACACCATGAAGCGCTCTGAAGTCAACAGTGGCAACTAAAATGTAGTTAAAAATGTAGTTTTGCTAAAGCTTCGCACTGGAGCTCTGAGCAGCCCCAAGTCTTGCAGAGAGAACAATCCCTCTTTCTACTCACACAAGAACAGAAGCATTTTCATCATGCAATGGGAGGCAAGGCCTTTCAGAAGCCTGATTTAATATTAAGCCATGAAAAAGTATGATATAGTACACTGTCTCTCAAGCTGTGGGTCAGAACCACAAAGTGGGTCATGACCCCCTTTGAAGGGGGTTGCCAGGGCTGGCTTAGACTGCTGGGATCAGGGGTTGAACCCCAAACCCCACTGCCCAGGGCCAGAACCAAAGCCAAAGCACAGGGGCTTCAGCTAGACAACAGGACTCCGTTGCAGGTCCCATCTTGGAAGCGGTGCAGGACTAAAGCTTTGCCTCCCCCCAAACATGGGGCAATGGGGCTTGATTGAGATTAGGCTTTGGTGCCCATCCTGGGGTCATGAAGCAGTGTTCCCTCTAACTTTTTATGCAGACATCATCTTCATAATGGTGCACACAAAATTCATTCTGCACATGGACAATTTGTGGTGGGGGTGGGGCTGAGAGGTTTGGAGTGTTGGAGGGGGCTCAGGTTTGCGGTGCAGGGCGGGGCGGAGGGTTCTGACTGGGGGTATGGCTCTAGGGTGGGGCCAGGGATGAGGGGTTGGAGGGAGGGGGCTCAGAGCTGGGGCAGAGGCTTAGAGTGAGGACTGCAGAAGAGGGGTTTGCAGTGTGGGAGGAGGTTCAGGGCTGATTCAGAGGACTGTGGTGTGGGGGGTTGAGGACTGTGGCTGAGGGTACAGGCTCTGGGGTAGGTTCATGTACAGGCTCCCCTGGGAGAGAGGGTTCCTCCAAGCTCTTTCTCACAGCAGCCACTATGAGCCAGGGGAGTGCACCCCCACCCCAGCCATGGCAACTCAAAGCTGGGGACAGAGAAGGACATCTGTCTGCCAGCTGCTGTGTCATTTCCCTAGCTGTGGCAGCTCTGTGCTGGGAGAGGGGTTTCTTTGTGTGGCAGTGTTCCCAGTAAGTTGTGTGCTTGTGCAAACACTCAGGAGATATTCCAGTGCCACTCAGCTGATTACAAGAGTGTCCACAGCTAGGGCTGTGTTTCTATGGGTGGTGCACATTCATACATGTCTTGGTGCACATAAAATTTATTCCACACATGGATGGAAAAAAAATCACACCTGGATGGAAAAGATTAGCGGGAACATTGGAGGTAGTCCTGAGCTTCTGCACAGAGCTAGTTAGGCAGATGTGCAGCCATGCAACTCAGAGAGAACACAGTCATGAAGTCATTTTTATTTCCAGGAGGGGGTCCCGGTGCAGTGAAGTTTGAGAACCTCTGGTCTCATGGCTAGGAAAGAAGGATGAAATGGAGGGATCTGTTTTCCCAGTTGTATTTATTTTGCTTGCATTGATGAAACATGTCAGCAAACAGTTGCATGGCTGGAGTTATGGGTGTTGAAGATCATTATGGTAACAAGTACCTATGATTAGCTCAAACCTTTGCTCTAGCATCCCGTACTGCATAAGGACCTTCTGCTGGTGTTTTTCTGGGACCTGAGATCATGCTGTTTCTCAGAGAGTATGTCTACACTACAAAGTTAATTCGAACTAACGGACGTTAGTTTGAATTAACTTTGATAGGCGCTACACTAGCGCTCCGCTAGTTCGAACTTAATTCGAACTAGCGGAGAGCTTAGTTCGAACTAGGTAAACCTCATTCCACGAGGACTAAGCCTAGTTCGAACTAGTGGGAGGCTAGCCCTCCCCAGCTTTCCCTGGTGACCACTCTGGCCAACACCAGGGAAACTCTATTGCCCCCCTCCCGGCCCCGGACCCCTTAAAGGGGCACGGGCTGGCTACGGTGCCCGTGCCAGGTGCAAGCCTGCCAGCACCCAGCCAGCAGACCCTGCATCTGGCACGGCTTGAGCCAGCCACCCGATGCCCCCCAGCCCTCCCCCTCTTCCCGGGACCAGGCTGGCAGCTCCCGGGAGCTTGCCCAGGACCGCAAGAGGCGGGCCCCCGCCTGGTCCAGTGCAGACATCGTGGACCTCGTCCACGACCTCCGCACTAGGCACAGGAAAGCGGCCGTCTAGGGCAGGAGAGCTGCCAGACCTGGCCACCCAGGAGCAGGTTTGCATGAAAATCAAGGGGGTCCACTGAGCCCCCCGACCCTGAGCCCTGAGCTTAGAATGGCTGTACTGGGTCAGACCAAAGGTCCATCTAGCCCAGTAGCCTGTCTGCCGACAGCGGCCAACACTAGGGACCCTGGAGGGGATGGACCAAAGACAGTGACCAAGCCATTTGTCTCGTGCCATCCCTCTCCAGCTTTCCACAAACTTCGGGCAGGGACACCACTCCTACTCCCTGGCTAATACCACTCCGTGGACCCAACCTCCATGGCTTGATCTCACTTCTCTTTAAACTCTGTTCTAGTTCTAGCCTTCACAGCCTCCTGCAGCAAGGAGTTCCACAGGTTGACTATTTGCTTTGTGAAGAAGAACTTTCTGTTATTAGTTTGAAGCCTGCTACCCATTCCTTTCCTTTGGTGTCCTCTAGTCCTTCTATTATGGGAACTAATGAAGAACTTTTCTGTATGCACCCCCTCCACCCCACTCATGCTTTTATAGACCTCTCTCATATCCCCCCTCCATCTCCTCTTTTCTAAGCTGAAAAGTCCAAGTCTCTTTAGCCTCTCTTCATATGGGACCTGTTCCAAACCCCTGATCATTTTAGTTGCCCTCCCCTCTCCCACCCTCTCTCTTCCCCTCTCCCACCTCCTTTTCCCAGTCTCCCCCAGTTTTGTTCAATAAAGAGAGATTCTATTTTTGAACACAATTGTCCTTTATTTTGTACATCAGGAAGGGGGGCTAGGGAGGGGTAAGTGGAAGGAGGGGAGGGAGGAATGGGGTACTAGCCCCCGATGGGGAGGACTGGGCTGGCTCTGCGGGCTTCTGGGGGTGGAAGCTCTCCTGCAGCCCCCCAATTGTCCCCTCTCCCCAGATGGCAGCCTGCGGCAAGTGCAGCCGGTCTGATGGCCGAGTGCTGTGATGTGCCCAGTGGGGGTACTCCGGGCAATCCAAGCCAGGACTGCTTTGCAAGCGGGGCACCCCTGAGAACTGTCTGTCCGGGGTGGGGGTCAGGTCCCTTTAAACACAGCCCTCGGCTAGCCTGAGACAGCAGCTCCACGCTCTAAGTCCTACTCTGATGCCCTGCCGGCACTGCTTCCGGCCATCCTTAACTCCGGTTCAGGGTCCACTCTGTGTGGACATGCTAGTTCGAATTAGCAAAACGCTAATTCGAACTAGTTTTTTAGTCTGGATGCGTTAGTTCGAATTAGCTTAGTTCGAATTAACTAATTCGAACTAAGTTAGTTCGAATTAGCGCTGTAGTGTAGACGTACCCCTAGAGAGTATCACCAAGTCTATTTGATCCCAAAGTTTAAGTGACTTTTGAGTCCTTGTAAGGTGTAAATTTTCTTTCTCCTGTGTCAAGATGAAAATTTTAAGTGGTAACATAAACCTGCTTAAGATACATGTTATAAAGGGCTATATTTACAGAGAAACATACTTTGTAAGATGTCACCACAGCATATTTTTAAGTACAATGGGCAGCAACAGATGGGAGGGAAAATGAAGCAGACTGAATACTGGTCCCACTGAGGACAATGGTAATTTTGCCAGTGGCTGAAATGGGGCTAGGAGTTAGCTCCGTGTCTGTGAAAGTGGATGTATAAATCTTGCTGGATGATGAAATATTTCTATATGCACAAACATACCTGTGGTTCCTCATTGTTACTGTAGGACGTTGAGTTACACACATCATGGTTCTGGCTGCGAAAGAGGACTGTGTCCTCTGAACTGCCTGAGGTGGATGAATATCTGCCTACACAATAGGGGCGGGGGAAGGAAAAACAACAGAATCAAAAGATCTGTGCAGGCCCACGGAAGTGCTCAATCATAAAACTGCCACGGGGTTGTTTCAGAGTCCATTTTTAAAATGCTGACTTTCAGATTCATATAACATATTACTCATTGCGGCCATAATATCATTCCTGTTGATAGCAACACTAGGTGCTGCCTTCTCTCCTAGGGCATAAAGAAGAAGCTGTAGGCTCCTCTGCAGACACTGCTGGCAGCTGGAAATTCCCACAAATCATAGCCTTAGAAATACAGGGACTCTCACCTTTTGTATAAGATGAGTTGGTTTCCTTTGGCACACTCAGGTGTGAGACAGAAGGGACAGGTGACTTCCTGCTATAGATTCTTTGTTTATCATGAGATGATTGATGCATAACCTAAAACCAAATGACAAGTTTTAGACAAATATACAGTTATACCATCTTTGTGAATTGGCAGTTCTCAATGTATGAATGGTCAAATATGAACTCCTCCTGGGCTGAGAAGAAATGAAGCTTGTGCCATAAATAACCAATACAGAATCTACAATTTATTTCTGTATAACTGTCTACTCTCCTCCTAACAAAAACATATAGCTTAGACTGTGAACTCTTTGGGACAGCATGTATCAATGGATCCAGGATCCCAATCAGGGCCTCTGAGCAATACCATAATATGAACAGTAATTAATAACATGCAGAATAGTCTGCACTATTAGGGCATGTCTACACAAGAGGGCTAAAGGCGAAATAAACTACACAATTTCAACTAAGTCAATTGCATAACTGAAGTCGAAGTATCTTAACTCGGCTTTTGGTGCTGTCTACATAGCAGAAATCCTTCGATTTCCTTTATGCCTCATAAAATGAGGGTTACAGGAATCAGAATAAGAAGTTCTCCAGCTCGACATTATTTCAACATCATGTCGAAATAACTGCTTCTAGTGTAGGTGTGGACTACACTATTTCTGAATAAAGTCAATTATTCCAAAATAACACTGCTGTGTAGACAAACTCTTAGCTAGTTACCTTCTCTGGCTCAAATGGTGTTAATCTTCCGTGATGGGGTGTTCTTCTGCCAGTGGGTGTTGAACTTCTGCTATGAAACTGATTAGAGGGTGTCTTTTCTCGGGCTTCCCTTGTTACTGATTTCAAAGACTCCATCCTTTCCACTTTACTTTTCATTGCCTGAAATGCATTCAATATTTTTGCATTAAACAGACACTGTTATGTTAAAAAGAAACATCACATGGAATCATTCTGTAAAAGCAGCAAAAACGTATTTCAAAACTTTTAGAATTAAAAAAATAATTTGTTACTATTTTTGCGGTTTGTTTACTTTTCACATATAGCTCTCTGCTTGGAAAATGGAAATGGACAAGTCACTTTCACTTTTGTTTCTAAGCAGTTTCATTTTCCAGTCCTTGTAAAGCTGGAACAACCCTGGTGAAAGGATGCAATCACAATAGCAGGATGTTCACTTATTAAGCACTTATAAATTCATACGGTGACATATGGCCCTACTGAAGTTAATGGCAAAACTCTCATTGATGTCACTGGGTTCAAGATTTAACTTCCAGTTTTTAGGGCCAGAAGGAACCACAACAATCACCTTGGCTACGTCTAGACTGGCATGATTTTCCAGAAATACTTTTAACGGAAAAGTTTTTCCGTTAAAAGTATTTCCTCAAAAGCGCGTCTAGATTGGTCCCAGAGTTATCGTTATAACGATGCACTTTTGCGCAAAAACGCATGTTCATTAGCGGGACGCTTTTGCGCAAAAGCAGAAGCCCGGAACCATTTTGCAGAGGGCAAAAGGGCACCAGGACTTTCCGGGGGCGGGGGCTGGATCTCCTTTGAGACACGTGCTTAAAGGGATCTCCCTGGCCAGCCGTTTATCTCCTGCTGCGTGCTATAGGACCCCTTGCAGGGACTGACAGCCGTAGCAGTTTTGGTGGTTGCCCTCTGCCTTTTTGGTCACCACTGCCTTTTGTCACCTAGTGCCTTTGCTTGGTTTTTTTTTATCGTCCTTATTTTTTCTGCCATGGGTGGCCATGTGCCTGCTCTGGCCCCTGCCGGCCATTTTGGAGTGCCTGCAGCTGGTGCTCCAGGCTGCTGCCCTCCTGTTCCAGGACATGGAGACGCAGATCGCTTTGGACTCCCTCACCACAGAGGCCATGGTGTCCCTGTGGCATCCCCACCCCAGCATGGAGAGGCCACTGTGGAGACTGGACACCAGTACGGGCTGGTGGGACCGGCTGGTCCTGGGGCAATGGGACAACCAGCAATGGCTCCGGAACTTTTGCACGTGAAAGCGAATGTTCCTGGACCTGTGTGCCTGGCTTGCCCGTGTGCTCCAGAGAACCACCACCCGGCTGCGGGCACCCATCCCCGTCGACAAGAGGGTCACCATCACACTATGGAAGCTGGCCACCCCGGACAGCTACCGATCGGTGGCACACCAGTTCAGGGTGGGCAGATCCACCATCAGTGTCGTCGTGATGGAGGTAAGTCCCAGGGGGAGTGGGGAGTGGAGTGTGTTGCACGCCATGCCCAGGGGCAGCCAAGACTCCAGGCTGGGTTACCCAGGGGTTTGGGCCGTCCCTCCCTTACACAGGACTGCTGATGGGGGCAGGGAGGGGGGACCGGGGGGCGAGGGGGCCCT